TAGTCATCTGCAGTTTGAAGAAAAAGAGGCTCAGTGGACTGAACAGTTTATCAGACCTTTGTTCTTTCTCTGAATGTGGAGGAATATCAGTGACTGGCATCTGTGGATGGTAGATGGTTTAACTAGAGAGGGTATTTAGATTTAAAGGTGGTATTCTGGTTTGCTGGGGGGTTGGAGGTTTTTTTAAGTGACTAGTTACCTTCTTGCAACCCCTGAGGGGTGAAGAAAGACCAAATGACATTTCTACGTTCAGCCATGTAAATCCACTCACAAAATGCTGAAATGCAGAAGGGGGTGGGTTCACTGGAAAAAAAACAGGATACAAACCCTGGCACATGTTTTTTACAGAGTTGGATTTCTGTTTTGAAGGTCCCTTCAAAGCAATGTGGGGATAGGTCAGCCTTTCTATTCCATTGAACCCTAACTGTCCCCCCAGCAAATTTATGAAGAGATGTGCAAGAAACATTTTTAATCTTTGCAAAACAGAGAAGAGGGAACTTAAAAAGTGGAAAGTGCAACTCCATTGACCTGTTCTCACCTTGCATTTGTCTTTTAATTTTTCTTGCTCCCAATCTCCTGAGCGACAATTCTGCCAAGCATGTCACAAACAGTGAAGCAAGAAGGCATTTGCTTAGGAGGCAAGGTTTTTCCCCTTCATGTTCAACCACATGCATGCTCATTCACTACAGTGAAACAGAGTGCAATAAATCCTTCCACGTCACACAATTCCTTACAAATAGTTGGTTCTAACAGTATTTTGACTGGCTATATCAATGGCCAGTCAAATCCATTTGTGAAAGAAAATGCAATGGCCAGATTCTGTCAAGCTCCATACATTTCAAAGAATAACATTCAAAGGCTTCTTGACAAAGAAAAAAATATATAAATAGAATAAGGAGAAGAACAAAAGTAGAAAAAAACAAAAGTAAAAATTGGAGGAAAAAAATAATGGATTAAACAAAACAGAGAGGTGAACCCCTCCCCCCCAGACCCGCCAACCCCCCAAACCAACACAGGAATGATCTGAACAGGAAGAAATCGCACTAATTCAAACAGCTGGCATGCAGAAATGGCCATATGGTGACAAGTGAGGGACAACATTAGCAGAATGTCCGGTCAAATATGGTGTAAATGACAAACCATAGAAGAGAACAGTAGCAGTGATTCAGTCCTGGCATTGCCTGTTTCGAGTCACGTAACCTATTCAATGTATTCATTCCTCTCAGCTGACTCCCAGTACACCAGTTTTGCTTCCCACATTTCAAATATCAGTGTCCCCCTCTGGACAGAACTGAAAAGAAGATACAAGGAATCATTCTGACAGAAAAGGTTCCTAAATTTCCTCCCACCCTCTCTGTCTATTATTCTCTCTTATTATCTCTCTCTCTTTATTTGAGTAAATAAATCAAGATGAGCCTTAAAACCCTTTCAAATAGCATGGTTCAAAAAAAGTTTATATGCATGATATGCCACTCCTTTAGAAAACAATTGTTTTGTTTTACTGCTTGGAGACTAGCTCAGTGATCAGTGGGTTAGACCCATAAAAATGTTTTCTTTGCAACATTCCAATACACTCGAGCAGGTATCCGGGAGGGCAGGAAGAAGCAAAAAGTGGTCTTGAATGGCAATAGTTGCAGGGAAGACAAACATGCCCCTGATTTCTATGCAAGAGCAATTGTTGCACTGCTTCAAACTACATCAGTCGCATCCCATCACATGCTTCCTGCCCAATGTTAATTGTTATTGTGTAATAAGACATACTCTACCTAATGCAGCATGTTAGATAAGAAATTTAAATGAATGGTATTTTCTGTATGGGAGCTATTTAATCAGCAGTGGCCAGATCCTCAGCTAATGTAATTTGGCATATCTTCATGGACATCCATGGCATCACACCAACTTATATTAGCTAAGGATCAAGCCCAATATTGTTTGAAAAGCATATATTTATATAAGATATAAATGTTAACAAACAAGGAAATTATGAGTCAGTTGGAGGAACTAAGTTTTTAGCATCTAACAGGTCCAATGGTAAGTAGGTCAAATTTCTATAAAAAGCTTCTACTTTCTACTGTAACTTGATTTATTTTCTGATTGCTGAAGTACTTGTGGGGCACATTTGCAGAAGTACTTGTGGGAGAATATGGTTGCAGCTGTATAACTGTATAGTATCCTTTTTGATTCAGCACTTCCTTCATGGACAGAAACTGATAATGCTTAAATAGAGATACAATGAGGGTTCTTCTTAAGAAAGACATAATGGCTTGAAGGACACTTAGTTAAATAGACTAAAGACTACTGAACATTTGCAATGGGGAAAAAATCTATGAAAATCAAAATTCATAAATATTTTGTCAATTATCTTCTTTTCTCCCTTCCTTCTTGTAGGTTAAAAGGAGTCTTAAAAGGAAGAAGAAGTTGGAAAAGGAGACAAAGCAATTGATTAAACAAGAGCAGCTGAGAAGGCTCCACAAAGCACAGGTGAAAAAAATCAAATTTTGCTAGTGTAATTTCAGAGATACTTAAGAAAATTTCAGTGATGCAGAAAAGGATAAGTGCGATAAGGGAAGGACACGGAAACTAGCTAGAGCAGCAGGACATATGTAGTTAGGCCTTGTATATTTGTGTATAGTTAATAAAAATGCTTTTTTTGGAAACCAACCATGTGGCTGTTTCATCTTCTACAAGGAAAGAAAGACACAACAGTTGATGGTAAGGACTGGATCTAAGTCCAGGAGTACAGTGGAATGGAGAGTAAAATTAGAACTAAAAGAAAATGAGTTTCTGCAACCACTGGGACTGTGAATAAACTGCTTATTTACAAAGGGGAAAAAAAATTCCTGTACAATTTGTACAAAGACTGCTAAGGTACTTGTCTTCAGACAAAGCAGAAAGAAGTTTGGGTGCCTATACACAAGTGCGGAGCCTGCTCCGATGCGCTGAAATTCCAGAGCTTCAGACCAGACTCGACTGATTGAGTCTGCTGGAGCGTGGCAATTACCATGCTCCAGCAGTCTCCCGTGACTAATGTATTAGTGTCCCCATGCTTCAAAACGGTGGTGGGGGTCCTTTAACTACAGCTTGTTCAACAAGCTTTAGATAAAGTGCCCCTGCTGCCATCTTGAAGCACGGGGACACTGATACCCGAGCTGCTACGGGCGCTTTAATTAGAGCGGCTCTCAGAGGTGCTCTAATTAAAGTGCCCCCCACCCCAACTCCCAGAGCACATGTATAAATGTCCCTAGATTCTGCCCAGGCAGGCAGTTGTGCCATTGAACCCTCCCATGGAGGAGGCTTGTGCAACATTCATGCATCATTTTGTGAATACATTTCTCCATGAGTTGATCTCAATTGTGTCCAAATTGAATGTGCCAAAATCATCATAGATACCCAAAATAGCAGTAAATTAACTAATTCAGGTACCATTAGCCAGGGCTATCACTTAAAATTCTGGTGCTCTCAGCAGTGCACGTGGGGGAAGAGCAGGCAAGAGCAATTACCTCCTCTCACAGGGGCAGCTGGTGGCACAGGATCCCTGGGGGCTGCCGTTCTGGTGCCCTCCTCTGAATAAATGCCCCTTTCACCCACCCCCAGTTATGCTATTGCTAGTAGCAACCTAACTGCAGCAGCAAGAAACTTAGTGCAGACTGTGAAACCCTCCTGAGAAACAGGGTATATTAACCCAGCATGGTGCTCCATGCTGTTGTGGCTAGGTTGTTCCTAGCACATGAGCTAGATAAGTCCGTGCTAACTGGGGCATCTCCATATTCCAGTGATTGCAGGGCAGACAGGGTAGATTGCAGGGTAGACACGTCACAAGTCACACTAGTCCGGTATAGCATTGGCAGGCCAGATTTTTAAAAGTGCTCACAGCTGGGCTAAGATTTTCTGAAGAGTTCAGCTCCTGTTTTGGCACCTGAATGAATCTCTCAGTGGGGACTTGTAGGTGCTAAGTCCTTATCTTAAAAATCTCACCTTACATTTTATGTGGAGCAAAAGAAGCATCAAGGCTACTTTTGCCTGTCAAACCTCTGTCTCTCTCTCTGAAGTGGCAGTGGTCTCTCACCATGTGTTTGTATTGTTCTCTGGACAGCAGATGCCTTATCTTGATTGAGGCCTATAAGTGCTACAGTTATACAAACAGGGGAAAATGTTTTCCAGAGATGGAATTGAAGCCTTTGATATTTTTAAAGAGATGTCACCCACGGAAAGACTTGGTGCACCTTTAAATAAGAAAACATAATTTAACATAGTTTTTTCCTACATTTTGTTTCTATTTTGGGAAACATTAGCCAGGGGTGGGCAATTATTTTGGGCAGAGGGACACTTACTGAGTTTCAGCAAGCCATCGAGGGCCACATGACAGGCAGCCCAGGGCAGATTAATATTAATTTTCTAAATTTTTTAGGGGCCTCGTGGGCCAGATAGAATGGCCTGGTGAGCTGCATCTGGCCCCCGGGCTGCATTTTGCCCACCCCTGCATTAGACTAACAAATGGCAAAATAGACGCCTCCACAAAAGAAAAGCTGTATCCATAATATAGTTTTTTTTCTTGTAGCAATAGTTTTTACTTGAGATATTAAGATGATCTTAATGTAAAGAAACACTACAGTTTCTTTAATACCCCTCCTTTTGATTTACTGCTCTGTGTTCATATAAAGATGCACCAAGTGGCACCTACACATGATAGTGGCAGGAGAAAACATGATTTGGGGGGACTGAGAGCCATTGCAGGGCTGGCACGTGCTGGTGCTGTGCAGTGGCAGAGGAGCCTGTGGAGGGGGCACTGGGCACGGTGCTGCAGTGGCAAGGTGTGGTGGTGGCACCGAGCGGTGCTGGGCCCTGTGGGACGGCAGCGCCATGGTGCTGCTGCTGTTGCCAGCTGCTGCAAAATTAGTTTGGGTGGGGGGGCTAAGCTCCATTAGCCCCGGCCTTCTGCCGCCTATGCCTACACACCTAACTCCCTATGGAGTTTTGAAAATCTCCCTCATCTAAAAATTTCTGAATTTTTAGATACTTTTAAGAATCTGGCCTTGAGTGACTTCCCAAATATCATAAAAGTGGTCTGTGGCACACCTGGGAACTGACTCCAGGTATGCCACATTCCAGCCAAATGCCTGGAGCACTGGGCAGTCCTTCTCCCTGTTATTAAACTGTGTTTTAATCTATTATGTCTTTTATATACTTTTGCAGGCTATCCAGCGCCAACTAGAGGAGTTGGAGGAGAGGCAGACAGCTCTAGAGACAAGGGGTGTTAAACTGGAGAGGGAGCTGCGAGGAGAATCAGGTGAAGGGGATGGAGGCTGTGTGAATCTTCTAAGCCGCTCCAGAAATGGAGCAGACATCACAACTGGATTAAAAAAAGGGCTGTAGTAAAAATATTAAAATTAAAGTTTTCACTAAAACAATAAGTAGAGAAAAAAATTACCATTTCCTTCCTCATTTCTCAAGAACCTTTTCATTAACAGGCAACAAGTGTTGTGGATTTGTAACTATCAGCACTTGAACCTGAAGTGACTTTTTTCCTCATTCTTTAAAATACGATCCTGACCCTATAGAACTGGTGATGTTTCTAGGTCCATTAACTCAGTTACCAAACCAGGAGCCTATGCCTGGCAACACAGCTTCTGAGTGTGAAATGTCAATAATATGATGCCATGATTACAGTCAGTGACTAAACCATGGAAATAACAGACAAGCAGTGAGAGAAGGCACAGAGGAGCAAGGAGACCTCTGAACTTCAAACTGCTTTGTCTTTATGGGTATGAGACAAATGGGTTTCTCCTGTGCTTCTAGCCGATGGTTAGATTTTGATTACCTATGACTCAGCTGTGCAAAGTGCAGGAGGGTATAAGCTCCCCCCTCCACAGCTGCATTAGGACTGTTCATTTTACACTTCCATGATGCATGGGTGTAACAGGGTTCATCTCCAGGGATGGCTATGATGCCCCTGGAGCCCCCTTAGCCCTCATCTACTTCACTCTCTTCGGGCACTCACCCCTCCATTGGCCTGCTGTTCTTTGGTGTATTTATGTTTTAAATAAAGTGAGGCTGTCCCTGGGCTTCTCAAGCTTGAGCTCATGCTTCTGAGCTCAGGTGTCTTCACTCTCCACCTTAATTGCTAATTACATGGCTCTGACCACCCCTTACATCATGCCCAGGCCTCACAGATGTCACCGTTCATTATTGAGCTATCTCTCTCTGCTCATTCCCGGGCACATCCTTGGGTCTCTGACCCAGATCTGTCCTCTCCTGAGGCACTGGGCCCCTGGCCCTGACTCTGCCCTTCTCTGGTCTGTGGATCCCTGACCATCCCAATCTCCAGCAGTGGCTCCCCCTTGATCTCTGGTCCTTCCCGGGCCCAGGTCCTGCTCCTAGGCCAGTTGAGACCTCCAGGCTCTCTGGTCATGCTTGCCCCTCCTGGGCTGTAAGTAGCTGACTCTGCCTCTTGCGGGCTATGGGTCCTTGACCCTTCTTGCTCTCACGACCCTTTGGCTGTGGCCCTGGTCTTCAGCCTTTGGCCCCTATCTTCTGATTGGCTCTCCTTGGCTCTGCTCTTAGGCCAGCTGAGACCACCTTACCTCCCCTTGTCTCAATCCCCAGACTACCAGCCTGCTTCCCCCAGCTTAGGTGTTTGCCAGGAGCTTGGCTGCATCCCTGCATTGCAGTTCTTCATATCTCAGCTGCCAGTGCCACCCCAACTCAGGCTCTGGGCTTACGCTCTGAAGCCCCCTTTTGGGTCACATGACCCCCGATTGCCTCCTGCAGCACTTACAGACTGCTCCATCTGCAATCTGCCTTCTCTTAAAGTAGCAGGAGCACCAAGCCTCTTGCTACAATGGGTCAGGCAGGAGCTATATAGATTTAACTGATCTCCCTGAGCGTGCCTGATATACTTTCTTTCTCTTCAGCTCCATGAGGAGTTAGACAGGGAGGGGGAGAGAAAAATGGATGATGGAGATTTGGTGGAGCCAGACTTTTCCCTACCCCACAGGGCTAGACAGGTGCCAGGAGGGGAGCAGAAGTACGTGAAAGAAAAAGGAAACAGAACTTATCTCCCTGTCAACCAGGGGGGAATAGGAGAGAAGTTGCCCACAGATGCTCTAGTGACCACAGCAGCTATATTCCACTTCTAACTTAGGGTAGAATACAATGATCCTATTTAGCCTTCCCTTTTTTTTTCCAATGAAATATGAACAGAAAGGCTGCCCTCATACAGATCTCCTGCCAGATGAGATTAACTTTTGATTCCAAAAGATACTTTAGACATAAGGAATTTATGAGAGCCAGCAGTCCCATAGCAGAGATGCTCTTTTTTTTTTCCTTGTTAAAAATCAAAACTCAGAAGTCACTAGTGTGATTTTTGTGCCCTGTCAGATAATACAGTATAACCCCATAAATCCAGATACCAAAAACCCAGAAAAATGGAAAATCCATCACTTTTTAAAACAATACTCCATTGGGGTGTAGCGGCAGCTGGTCCCGGAGCAGCAGAAGGGGCAGCTTGCACGTGGCAGCTGCCACTGCCATCCACCATCCCGCGCCGCTGCTCCATGTGTGGATGCTGCTCTGGGACCAGCCGCCGCTCCAGTTTCACAAATCTGGAATTTATACATTTCCAGCAGGTGCTTGGTCCCAAGCATGCTGGATTCACGAGGTTACACTGTACAACACTGAAAACCTGGGAAATTGTTGTGTTGACACTTGGTACCATATTCATAGCTATGTGGCATGGCCAAGTTTTAGATTTGTAGGTACATGCTTTTTGTGTTGTATTGTATTAAAAGATAAGAAACTCATCATACTTGCAGCAGAAACATGTTGGGCTCAATCCGGAATACCTCAGAAAGTAATTATGGTCTCCTTAGGTCATAAGTGTTAAAAGGTAATGATTTATTAAAATATGCCCACTTCCTTGTCTTTTAGAAAGCACAGTTTCCCCACGGGTATTTTAAGGGTTTTATGTATTAGTTACAGAAATCAGCAAAGAAACTTGGGTCTTCTTTTTATATCTTCAAAAAGTATGGAGGAACAAAACTCTTCTAACTATAGGTAAGTAAGGATAAATACTGAATACCGAGATGGATCACCCAGATTCACCTCTTGTTTTCATTATTTTGATAATCACATTTCCTAAAGAAGGGTCATCTACTAGGAGATTGATGCGCCTCATTCGCTTTTTCATCCTTAGTAATTTAATTCCCATCATTAAGGTTAGAGTACTATTTTTTCTCCCTGTTGATTTTCATGTGGGTGACCAGCTACAGGAGAAGGCAGATAGAGAAACGCAGAAAAAGGAAAATGTGCTTGAATAACTCTTATCACACTAAATTTCAAGCCTAGAGTCTCTAAACTAGCCCTGAAAACATTAACACTTTGCTGCTTTGTAATAACATTTGTGTAATAATGCAAGAATAGGTCAGTTAATATTCCGTTCAACCTTTTAAAAATAATGGGCATTATTGTTTAATGAATGACCAGGGCTTATTAGGTTAAGTTGTATTTAAGTAGGTCTGTGCTTATGTAATTCAAGTGATTTAATAGGTATTATTAGAGTAATTAGAAAATGATCACAGTTCAGCAATAATATTGAGCTGGAAAGGTTGTGAATAACCAAATTTAGAGGCAGGGCTGCAAACACTAGTCTTCAGTGACATTTACGCAACTCTCTTCTAATAATTATGTAAGCATGGAATGAAAGGCTCTTTTGTTAGTGGGAGTTATTCATTAGCTACTGAACTGAATTAAAAGAGAACATGCGTGGGTGTGAAACAACTGCCATGTAGACTGATGAACAAAATGAGGCCTTGATGATCTCGTAATTGTAGTGGCAACAGTTCATGGGTTTGAAAAAGTAAGAAATAATCTCAATCCTATGATTTTTTTCTTGGTGCTTTTCCCCTCCATTTGCTTTATCCTGTGCTAAATACCAAATAGTGAATCATTAGTGTACTATAGTTTTGTTTTTCATTGATATTTGTGTGGGTTTACAAGGATCTGTTGCCTACAAGAAAAATCGGTAGCACAGATTTCGATCTACATTTTCAACAGGAATTTGCATAACTCACCAGTTGAGGAAACAAATGTAAAGGTTGGTAGTAAAGAAAAAAGCTCTGTGTTGAGTGAGCATAATTCATCTCTCCATATTTCAAGATATGTGTGAATAACTGCAGGTCTTTCAGAAGGTTTTGTTTTTATATCTAGTGTAACCCGTTAGAATTGCCTTTGGAAAGAAAATTATTTAAAACTTTAAACAATGTCAAAATAGTAATCATGTGAAGGTGTATGGGTGAACAGGAGGCTGAAAGCTATACTTTTGTCTGTAGAACTATTTTAACATAAATTATGGGGCAGAAAGTGGAGAATTTGAGAAGCATCAAAATAAATGTTGCTTTGAATAGACCACCTTAAAATTTTAATTCTATATATGATGGTATTTGAATTGTTAGTGGGGTCTCTGATGAAAGGGATTTGGATAACATTTAACAAAAAGGTAATATGTTCAATAAGCAAACACGGGGACTGGCATCCAATCGATCATAAAAAGCTACCTGTCTCATTATGGTGATATGAAGAATGTTTAATTTATTTGTGCTGCCCTTGAAAGATGTCATACATCCTGCATGAGCTAAGTAACTGTTAGCATAATTATTAATGATAGGTCAATAGAGAAGTCTGGATAATAAATGCATTGTAGTCTTTAGGACACTAGAGGGCACTCTGTAGAACAAAGAAAGAAAACAACATGACATTGTTACTACAACTGGATTAGGTGTTTTTATATGGAATAAACAAGGCATTTTTTGCAAAATGCACCGCTGTTTGCTTCAGTCAAAAACAATGCCTTTTAGCAGAGGCAGGAACTGATGTTTCGTAGGGTAAGCAGGAAAGGTTAAAAAGCTGTATTTTTCCATATGTTTTCCATTTTTTAACAAACAAAGATTGAGATGGGGGACTGACAGAGTCTGAGTCACTGCACATATACAGCACAGACTAATGCCTGCAATAACAGATTGTTTCTGTGGACAGTTAGATGAATAAAACATTGGTTGTAAGAACAGAGTAGGGCAGGGATGTTGCAGGTGCTGATTTCTGGCTGCATTAAATCCATAGGTAACTGCTACAGACAGGCATTTAACCGAGACACTTCAGACAGGCAGGCACTTAAACAATTTCTTTGAGCTTGTTGTAGAAATTCTGCCAAAACTTTTCTACATCACAATTTGCCATTTGTTTAAATGAAACATGCCGTGGGAATGTGCTGATTTTTCCCAATGTTTTGATGGGCTCCAGCAAGGTCTGAAGGACTTCTTCCTGTTGTTCTAGCAGCTTGCCCACCTGGCTTCTTGGTAGTTCCAAAAGGAACAAAATCAGATTTCAGAGTCACAAAACTGTCCATCAACCAGTACAACCTTCCTCTGTAGACCTTTCTCTTCCCCATGTACCTTCTACTTCAGTTATGGACAACTTGGGCTTTAAGGGAGATGAGCGAATTTTATACGTGCCCAGAGGAAAAAATGGATGTAAACAATGAGCATAATTTCCTTCACATCCAATAAGAGTCTTTGCTGAAGAACTGCTTTAGATGAGGTCGTTAATGTACATGTAGTACAGGCTGTGCTCCAGTGAATTCCAAGCCCGGCTTTGATATCAGGTTGAGAGCCAATATTGGGCATAGCTACAGTAGTAGAGTGGTAGAAGAGACTCATTTCCAGAAACAGTAGCAGTTTTGCCTTGCTGAGAGACCATATATATAATAGTCATTTGGTGTGTCTAGGAGACAAGACCTGAAGGGCTGCAGTGTACCTATGCTCCTCTCCCTGGAACTTTAGTATATTTTCACGTCTGCAAGTCAAGATTTAATGTTTTTATCTCCGATGCAGCTATTCCTGTGCAGCTCTTCCTAACACTATCACATGTGCTCTGTCTTCCTCTTTAGTTGTCTAGCTTTATTTCTTTATCTTAGTTTGTTTTCTATTTCTTGTCATTCTTTCTCTCACCTTCTAAACAACTATAACTACGTCGCTGAACAGGTTGTCATCGTTCAGACCTGAACTGCAGACCTCTTCATATAAAATCATGAGCCTTAATCACTTGGATTCAACCCATTAGCTTAAAAGCAAAGTGGTCTCATAAACCTGCATACATGGTCCAGTCACTAGGAAGAAGAAGCCATGCTTTATTAGCCTACACTTTTTTTGGAAGGCACAGCTGCATTCTTTTGTCCGCCTAGTTCAGTTCATTACCTATCCTCTTTCTTCATTTTCCAGTTCTTCTCTTGTCTTACTGCACTGATATGATAGCAATCAAACTGAAGGTCTGAGTACCAGTCTCTGCATTGGAAGCTGCTGCTGCTACTGCACTTCTGGACAGCTCTTGTTTTTAGGCCTCTGAGTTGGTTCAGCATGATGTGGTTGTCACTTCTGCTTCTAGCTAAACAACTGAGAAATTTTCCCATACATAGGATAGTGTAGGAGATGTCGCAGCCTTATGGCTGATGAAGTCATTGCTGCGTAGGCTTTCAAGACAGCAATAGCACTGTGTAGGCAATTGTCGAGCAGCTGTCGAGAGACCAGATGTCATGAAATTCATCTACAGCACTGACAGATTTCTGCCATTCATAGATAGAACTTCCTGGACATTGGGATTGTCCCTTAAACCTGGGACAACTTTGGAGTAAATTAAGGTATTTGTATCCAACCTGTTACTATTATGTTCTGTTGTCAGAGTATGTGGAGAAGGTCATGGCAGATTAGGCATGACAGAAGTTTAGGGGAGAGATTTCCCATCTCCTCAGCAGCTTTTCATTTAAGAATGGGGGTCATGCTACAGAACATTTAGATGCTGTAGGGTAGATGGGCTTTATTGATGGTTACTGAAGGAAAGACACACAAAAAAAGGGTTAGACAGGGGGAAAAAAGGATATGTATAGAACAAGAAGTGTCTCAAACCTTTTGAAAGCCACTTGTGTTAAGATATGTTCTTGGCAGGGCTGTCTGGAGGTAAGCAGGTGATAAAATACCAAGCAGTTTGTTTATGAGTGGGGTTCATTTAATGGCCAGATTTTCAAAGAAAGGTTCAAGCAATATGAACAAAGCAATTTTTTGGCACTGAAGCATCCATTTTAGAAGCATAAATGTAGGAGGCTTAAGTACTGTGGTCAGATATCCACCTAGAATGAATTATTCAGGCACTGGAGCCTCCCAAAAAGGAAATAAACTTATTGATGACAGAACTAAGAGCAAATAATATCAACTACTTAAAAAGGGAATAGACAAATAAAAGAAAAGGAATAACATGAACCTCCTGGCTTCCAAAATGGAAGCAAGTGATTGTTGCCTTTTTATCTGTTTCTTTCCAGAATAATCAATATACTCTTAACTGCAGTAAACTCTTGAAAAATATAAACAGGTGTTTGATATATGGAGAAATACTGACAGAAATATCACATCACTAAGGTTCTGTATGGTATGCATGCACCTAGTCTTACAAACAAGGGGCATTTAAAATAGCCCCAATGTGGTTTGATAATGGAGAGGAAAACCCAGTATAACATATTTACTTTTTATATCTTAAACAGATTCAGGCACACAGGATGAAACTCAGCTGTTACATGAATGGTTTGAACTAGCCCTGGAGAAGAATAAATTAATGCGTTATGAATCTGAGCTCTTGGTGCTGTAAGTAAGGACAATACAGTTTATCATTAATAATAGAAACATCGGGGGTGTGGGGAGAATGTGCTCATTTTAGATCCAGGACTCAGGATTTTTCTCCAAATGCATGCAGCCTTCATTACGGAGCTAAATTGCCACTTTGTCTTGCATAGCATATTGCCATTAGTGCATGGAGAGAGCTTACACTTCTTATCTAGCTATATCCTGGAGCTGGAAGTGTGATAAAATAAGAACACCCCAAACTACCATCTATTTTGAACACAGATTTTCAGTTGAACTCCCCAGTGGTACGGTGATTTTGATTCTATAAGGCTATTATGAAACACTGTTGCTTGTGGATGCTCTGTTCCAATGTAATGATGGACTAATGAACCCTCAAGGCCTTTATCCAATAGAAGAAAAATTGTTCTAACCTACAGTACATCAGCCTTTCCTGGACAGCATGAGGAAATGGGAAGAAAGATTAAACACAGCTGGGAATTACTTGGGAGTAGAATAGAGAGGCAAAGTGAATGGATGTACATCAGCAAATAAGGACTGTATTAGATACCAGTATCTGGGGTTGATTAAAACTGTACTGGTCATAAAACCATCAATATTCCCACTGCTGTATGTGCCATGTTTGCTTGCTGAGTCTCTCAGCTGCTCCCTACTTCCACTGCTGTGGCTGTGTAGGTGAGGGAACATTTCCTGATCTCTGGAGCCTGTGCTGATAGCAGGTGGCTGGGTGCCATTTCCAGTTCCACACTGAACAACAGGTCACACGATGCTCTGTTGGAGAAACCCTGCATCCATCTGAATCTTCCTCTGGTTACAGTTACATGTGTGCAAAGATGTGCAAGAAATTTGTTTTCCTTGGATTTTACTTTACTCATCTGGCATCTCTGCTTCCTTTCACATTGTCAAAAAATGGCAGTTTAACAAAAATTAAATCTGTATCATTTGATACAAGACACAAAATGGTGCGCTCTGGGTCTATTCATTCATATTAATTTCCTTTCCTTAGGAGTCCTCTTCACTGCAGGCAGGGCCCTCAATTCTCAGAAGTGTTCAACTTATACGTCAGGCTCAGGTTCAGGCTCTTAGGGTGTTTTTACACATGCTTCGTGAGCAGAGGGGGGGTGAACTTTAATTAGAGCAGCTCTCGGGAGCCACTCTAATTAAAGCACCACAGTGTCTGATTTTTAAGCAACCACATGCTTCAAAATGGTGGTAGGGGCACTTTAACTAAAGCTTGTTGGATGAACTTTAGTTAAAGCGCCCCTGCTGCCATTTTGAAGCATGGAAACACTAATTAGCACACTCAAGCAGACTTGATGTATTGAGTCGGCTCCAATGCACTGTAATTACAGTGCATTGGAGCAGCCTCCTGGCAGATCTACAGGCACACCTAGTCTGTGTAACAAAGAATCATTGCATGTGCACACTGAAATGCTCCCAGTGAATAGGGAACTTAAAAGAATATAGAATCCAAGAGGTACTGCTGCCTTGTTCTGGCATGTAATATGAGAGTGTAGGAAGAAGCAAAGATTTGAGGGTAAACATGACTATATGGAGCAGAGACTGGGCATGCAGCATGTGTACTTATTGCTGTTACTGAATGTAGTCAATGTCTTTAAGAACATGTTGCCATGCATGTTGTTGCATACTTTATATCCTCAACAAATATTTTCATATGAATAAAGCACTCCAGAGGCAGTGATGGTAATAATAAATGGTAAAAGAAGAAATATTACCTATTTTTCTTATTATTTTAGGTTAATATTAATCACAACTTCACCTGCATGTTGCTATTTTAAGGGGGAAGTTTCTCTTTTCATATGTACATATACTGCTAACTTAATCAGCTGTGGATCTGAGATGATATTAATCATTATAACAAGACAGCAACATCAACATTGAAAGTAAAATGGATTCCAGATTTTTTACTTTTTGTCAGTATTTTTATTAGGACTGTTGAACTTTCTTGTTACCTTCTGAATTCTGAAATGCTTAGGAACTCAATGTCAGCTGGTTCATCACTGCTGTTTTTAATGTGTCCAGAGCCCAAGAACTAGAACTGGAGGATCACCAAAGCAGATTGGAACAGGAACTGAGAGAGAAAATGGCCATTGATGGTAAGTTGCATAGGAAGGGTCTTACCTGCTTGGTATGCACAAGTGATGCTCAACCTTTTTGCCCTGTGGGCCAAATGAGTGGTGTGAGGCTGGTCCACAGGCAGGATTAGAACCTGAGCTCCAGGATCAGGCGTACATGCTGGTTCTGGACCATACCACCCCCGCCTGGCCCTGCATGCTGGGATTGGGGCCCCGGGACCCTGTGCTGCCTTCACCAGGCTCCACATGCTGAATCAGGACCTCTGGGGCACAAGCCAACTCCATCTGCCCTCATATGCTGGGATCAGGCTCCATGCAGCCTTGTGTGCTGAATCGAGAATGCAGGGCCATTGAACACAGGGCTATGTGGATCCAGGGTCTGATCTGGCCCACAGGCTGGGGGTTGAGCACCCCTAATTTACTCTAGTGGTCTCTAACCATACATTTTACAACAGGTGCGACTGCAGTGATTTGGGACCATTATACCGAGTTAAAGAGATTGGGAGTTCCTGGGTCTGTGGCTTCTTTCTATCTTGCTTGCTTGTTTGTTAGCTTCTAGAAGAGTTGAGGAACAAACTTAGAGGCCTGTGTGAATTACTGCATATGTACATATTCAGCAATACATTTCCAAGCGTTTTCTTTTAAAAAACAACTTTGCGTTGTGCGCGGGCAGTGAGCTGCTGCAGCTAACTAGTCCCTGGATATTAGAATAGCTTCTGCCACAGTTGGGCAAACTGCTTCTCCAGCTGCTTCTTGCCTCTTGATGTGCACCCCCTCAGCTCCGGGTTGTCACCTGTCTCTCACTGGGATTCCCCTACTTTAAAACTGTGTGGTAGACTGTATTTCTGAGATGTTATTTTTGAATATCTGAGCAAAATGGCTCATGTTCAGTGCCTGCACTTTTGTACCTCTGGGAGCAATGATCACTAGTTAATTTATTGACCAAATGGCCCTTTTGAAACAAATATTATTTGTCTGGAATTTGGAAATATACTGGTATGTGAAAAACAATCAGTCTGTATGAGAGCCTGTCTCCCTTCTGGTATTAGTCTGGTAACTGCAATATATTCAGACTCCCTCTAGAGAGGCTCAACATCTCCCTTTGCTGCCTTTAACAACTGATCTCCCTGGAGTACTTTTTTTGACTGTTAAAACCTGAAAAACCAGCTGTCTCTCTTTAGGTTGGAAGTATGCCATTGTCTGGTAATTGCATCCAAGTTTGCACTGGAAGGTCAGTTATCCAGTTCCATTGTGCTGCTTTCCGGTGTGTTTTAAAACACCCTCCTGTTAGAACATTCTAATAGCCCAACACAACTATACATAACTTCATGTCACTGGCCAGATTGCATACAATATTTATAATGTATTTAAATATCACTGTTCTTAAATTATTACATGTTCCATGTCTATCATACCTTCACTGACAAGTTGAATAAAATTATATTCCTTCTGCATAAAAAATCAATTTGCATCATCTTTAATTTACTTTCAAACCCCAAAGTATATAAACTTTATAAAGGTGAACCATACAAGGGCTCCATCAACCACACCTGTTTGCAGAGCAGGATTCAGCAGCTTGTTTTACCCCAGCCTACACTATCTGTTGTGAAGTGGAATGTTTGCTTCTGCTCTTTGGTACAGCAGACCAATGCATACAAGTTTGGGCAGTATCTCTTCCATTATCCACACACATGCTCCATATTAAAGGGTAGTTCTTAGTGAATGAGCAATTGGTATCATTTCTTTGAATCTTGACTTTTCTTTTTAAAAGTGGCCATCATGGCAGTTAAAAATATAATTTGCCATGATACTCATTCTTTTCCTTAATACAAAATGTGCATGAGTGAAACAATCTGAAAAATCAGGGCAGCTACACTTTCAATTATTATGTCTTCTAGTCATCTCAAAGAGATAATTACAAAATGAAGAAAAATATTATATAAGAATAGCTATGTGAATACTAGGTCAGTGTGATGCATGTCAGAGTAGGTGATAATATACCTTTCTAGCCTTAAAATCTATTAAATCAGTCTCTATTGCAAATTTTGTTTCCCGCACATTATGTTAGCAGTGATCAAAAATGGAAATTTTAACCAAAAATATATTATTGGTTTTCATTTTCCTATTTTTCAGTGAATCTGGAAAATTGAAAATGTAGGGGTTTGGAATGTATTCTCTGCCCTCGCATTCTACTCCTCTTTTCACTCCTCTTTTCTAAGTATTGTGATATACCTGTTAATGAATAACTTCAACTAATAAAAAAAATTGTATTCTAAATGAGTAGAATAATAATGACTGACATGTTCAAATCTTTTTATGAAAAAGATATTTTCAGTTTCTTTACAACCTCTAGATTTTTGTTTAGCTCTGTTCACCTGTTTATAAACTGAATTTAAAATCCAACTACAGTTGAACATCTTAAATTTGTTTTTATTAATGTATTCGTTGCTGTATATGGTTTTGTATTGTTGAGTTTTGGTTTATGGTTTAGGTAGCATTTGTATCTGTTGTAAACTAAAACTTTTCTCCACATCTTTAGAAAGGATGAGCCAGGTTTTACACATTTTGTTTGCCTTCTCTCAGACAGCCTGAAAGATGAGAAAGATCTGAAGGAGGAGAATGAAATTTTTATCAAGATGATGAGAGTGATTGCAGAAAGGGACAAACTCGTGTCTTCCTTAGAGCAGCAGAGATTGAAGAAAAAGGCAGAAGATCAGCACTTTGAAAGCTTTATGTTACCTAGAGAATATCCACTCAACAGGACCTAAATAATCACATACAAATGCATGGAACTTTAGCAATGTTAACCAACATGGAGTGACGTTTTTTGGCCAACGTCTGGCTGAAATGAAGGAATTTCATGTTAAGACTTCAGCTTGTTTGGGGAAATGTAGTATCAACAGTTTTTATACAGGCTCTTTGCTTGTACAACAGAATCTCTAGTCCTAGTGAAAAAATATGTGAAGAAGTATCTAAATCTCATTATCAACAAGAAGGGTCAGTCATCCTAGGATACAAAAATGGATTGAGTTCACCTGTCTGACAGACAGTATGCACTGTGAAAATTAAACTAGTTGTTCATTGTTGTCCTTTTTCATAGAGGTTTATTATAATTTTGAAAACAGAGTTCCCTAGAAATATAACTGCATGATTTAATACTTTTGAGAATAGAATAATTTCCAATCTATTCTTTTGCATCTCTGTTTGTATTTTAGCATGGTTGAGGCAGAATGAACAGTATGCAAAGTTCAGAAGTTAGTATCACTTGTGTAAAAATGTTAGCATTAAATATATATTTCGTGGAGAAGAGGCAGACAAGTTTCTTGGGGTAAATCTGATATCTTTTATTAGACCAACTAAAATAGTTGGAAAAATTCTTATTTGCAAGCTTTTGGGTACAAACACCCTTGTTCAGGCCGAGGGAGCGTCTGCAGTTGTTACGTACTCTCCTGGATGGAGAAGAGAGTCTTTTGATTATTAGACTGTAGACATTATACATAGCTATTTTACTGCAAATGCAATGCCACTGAAATTTAATTTACTAGGTATATTTATAAGCTTGAGTACACTTTATATTTTGAACAAGGACTTAATACAATGTTAAAGCTCTTTCACTTAATACCAAAGGGATTACTAACCTTCACAAAATGCTGAAAGGTCAAAAGAGCAGTAACTGACCTGTTCTGTAACTGACCAAAGAACTCATGGAAGTATTGTGGCAGATTTTTAATGTGTATATGACACATTATGATTTTACAACTTACAATCTTGACAAAAGCAGGTACTGTATCAAAGAACTGTCAGTAACTGTAAATCAACTAGAGATCTGTCATAGAATAACATCACATAACCATGGGCACCTTTTTCTGAATGTTTATGCTGTCAGTTGATAAAATCTGTGGTTGCACATAAACCACATCGCTCCAATGCACTGTAATTACAGTGCATTGGAGCAGCCTCCTGGCAGATCTACAGGCACACCTAGTCTGTGTAACAAAGAATCATTGCATGTGCACACTGAAATGCTCCCAGTGAATAGGGAACTTAAAAGAATATAGAATCCAAGAGGTACTGCTGCCTTGTTCTGGCATGTAATATGAGAGTGTAGGAAGAAGCAAAGATTTGAGGGTAAACATGACTATATGGAGCAGAGACTGGGCATGCAGCATGTGTACTTATTGCTGTTACTGAATGTAGTCAATGTCTTTAAGAACATGTTGCCATGCATGTTGTTGCATACTTTATATCCTCAACAAATATTTTCATATGAATAAAGCACTCCAGAGGCAGTGATGGTAATAATAAATGGTAAAAGAAGAAATATTACCTATTTTTCTTATTATTTTAGGTTAATATTAATCACAACTTCACCTGCATGTTGCTATTTTAAGGGGGAAGTTTCTCTTTTCATATGTACATATACTGCTAACTTAATCAGCTGTGGATCTGAGATGATATTAATCATTATAACAAGACAGCAACATCAACATTGAAAGTAAAATGGATTCCAGATTTTTTACTTTTTGTCAGTATTTTTATTAGGACTGTTGAACTTTCTTGTTACCTTCTGAATTCTGAAATGCTTAGGAACTCAATGTCAGCTGGTTCATCACTGCTGTTTTTAATGTGTCCAGAGCCCAAGAACTAGAACTGGAGGATCACCAAAGCAGATTGGAACAGGAACTGAGAGAGAAAATGGCCATTGATGGTAAGTTGCATAGGAAGGGTCTTACCTGCTTGGTATGCACAAGTGATGCTCAACCTTTTTGCCCTGTGGGCCAAATGAGTGGTGTGAGGCTGGTCCACAGGCAGGATTAGAACCTGAGCTCCAGGATCAGGCGTACATGCTGGTTCTGGACCATACCACCCCCGCCTGGCCCTGCATGCTGGGATTGGGGCCCCGGGACCCTGTGCTGCCTTCACCAGGCTCCACATGCTGAATCAGGACCTCTGGGGCACAAGCCAACTCCATCTGCCCTCATATGCTGGGATCAGGCTCCATGCAGCCTTGTGTGCTGAATCGAGAATGCAGGGCCATTGAACACAGGGCTATGTGGATCCAGGGTCTGATCTGGCCCACAGGCTGGGGGTTGAGCACCCCTAATTAACTCTAGTGGTCTCTAACCATACATTTTACAACAGGTGCGACTGCAGTGATTTGGGACCATTATACCGAGTTAAAGAGATTGGGAGTTCCTGGGTCTGTGGCTTCTTTCTATCTTGCTTGCTTGTTTGTTAGCTTCTAGAAGAGTTGAGGAACAAACTTAGAGGCCTGTGTGAATTACTGCATATGTACATATTCAGCAATACATTTCCAAGCGTTTTCTTTTAAAAAACAACTTTGCGTTGTGCGCGGGCAGTGAGCTGCTGCAGCTAACTAGTCCCTGGATATTAGAATAGCTTCTGCCACAGTTGGGCAAACTGCTTCTCCAGCTGCTTCTTGCCTCTTGATGTGCACCCCCTCAGCTCCGGGTTGTCACCTGTCTCTCACTGGGATTCCCCTACTTTAAAACTGTGTGGTAGACTGTATTTCTGAGATGTTATTTTTGAATATCTGAGCAAAATGGCTCATGTTCAGTGCCTGCACTTTTGTACCTCTGGGAGCAATGATCACTAGTTAATTTATTGACCAAATGGCCCTTTTGAAACAAATATTATTTGTCTGGAATTTGGAAATATACTGGTATGTGAAAAACAATCAGTCTGTATGAGAGCCTGTCTCCCTTCTGGTATTAGTCTGGTAACTGCAATATATTCAGACTCCCTCTAGAGAGGCTCAACATCTCCCTTTGCTGCCTTTAACAACTGATCTCCCTGGAGTACTTTTTTTGACTGTTAAAACCTGAAAAACCAGCTGTCTCTCTTTAGGTTGGAAGTATGCCATTGTCTGGTAATTGCATCCAAGTTTGCACTGGAAGGTCAGTTATCCAGTTCCATTGTGCTGCTTTCCGGTGTGTTTTAAAACACCCTCCTGTTAGAACATTCTAATAGCCCAACACAACTATACATAACTTCATGTCACTGGCCAGATTGCATACAATATTTATAATGTATTTAAATATCACTGTTCTTAAATTATTACATGTTCCATGTCTATCATACCTTCACTGACAAGTTGAATAAAATTATATTCCTTCTGCATAAAAAATCAATTTGCATCATCTTTAATTTACTTTCAAACCCCAAAGTATATAAACTTTATAAAGGTGAACCATACAAGGGCTCCATCAACCACACCTGTTTGCAGAGCAGGATTCAGCAGCTTGTTTTACCCCAGCCTACACTATCTGTTGTGAAGTGGAATGTTTGCTTCTGCTCTTTGGTACAGCAGACCAATGCATACAAGTTTGGGCAGTATCTCTTCCATTATCCACACACATGCTCCATATTAAAGGGTAGTTCTTAGTGAATGAGCAATTGGTATCATTTCTTTGAATCTTGACTTTTCTTTTTAAAAGTGGCCATCATGGCAGTTAAAAATATAATTTGCCATGATACTCATTCTTTTCCTTAATACAAAATGTGCATGAGTGAAACAATCTGAAAAATCAGGGCAGCTACACTTTCAATTATTATGTCTTCTAGTCATCTCAAAGAGATAATTACAAAATGAAGAAAAATATTATATAAGAATAGCTATGTGAATACTAGGTCAGTGTGATGCATGTCAGAGTAGGTGATAATATACCTTTCTAGCCTTAAAATCTATTAAATCAGTCTCTATTGCAAATTTTGTTTCCCGCACATTATGTTAGCAGTGATCAAAAATGGAAATTTTAACCAAAAATATATTATTGGTTTTCATTTTCCTATTTTTCAGTGAATCTGGAAAATTGAAAATGTAGGGGTTTGGAATGTATTCTCTGCCCTCGCATTCTACTCCTCTTTTCACTCCTCTTTTCTAAGTATTGTGATATACCTGTTAATGAATAACTTCAACTAATAAAAAAAATTGTATTCTAAATGAGTAGAATAATAATGACTGACATGTTCAAATCTTTTTATGAAAAAGATATTTTCAGTTTCTTTACAACCTCTAGATTTTTGTTTAGCTCTGTTCACCTGTTTATAAACTGAATTTAAAATCCAACTACAGTTGAACATCTTAAATTTGTTTTTATTAATGTATTCGTTGCTGTATATGGTTTTGTATTGTTGAGTTTTGGTTTATGGTTTAGGTAGCATTTGTATCTGTTGTAAACTAAAACTTTTCTCCACATCTTTAGAAAGGATGAGCCAGGTTTTACACATTTTGTTTGCCTTCTCTCAGACAGCCTGAAAGATGAGAAAGATCTGAAGGAGGAGAATGAAATTTTTATCAAGATGATGAGAGTGATTGCAGAAAGGGACAAACTCGTGTCTTCCTTAGAGCAGCAGAGATTGAAGAAAAAGGCAGAAGATCAGCACTTTGAAAGCTTTATGTTACCTAGAGAATATCCACTCAACAGGACCTAAATAATCACATACAAATGCATGGAACTTTAGCAATGTTAACCAACATGGAGTGACGTTTTTTGGCCAACGTCTGGCTGAAATGAAGGAATTTCATGTTAAGACTTCAGCTTGTTTGGGGAAATGTAGTATCAACAGTTTTTATACAGGCTCTTTGCTTGTACAACAGAATCTCTAGTCCTAGTGAAAAAATATGTGAAGAAGTATCTAAATCTCATTATCAACAAGAAGGGTCAGTCATCCTAGGATACAAAAATGGATTGAGTTCACCTGTCTGACAGACAGTATGCACTGTGAAAATTAAACTAGTTGTTCATTGTTGTCCTTTTTCATAGAGGTTTATTATAATTTTGAAAACAGAGTTCCCTAGAAATATAACTGCATGATTTAATACTTTTGAGAATAGAATAATTTCCAATCTATTCTTTTGCATCTCTGTTTGTATTTTAGCATGGTTGAGGCAGAATGAACAGTATGCAAAGTTCAGAAGTTAGTATCACTTGTGTAAAAATGTTAGCATTAAATATATATTTCGTGGAGAAGAGGCAGACAAGTTTCTTGGGGTAAATCTGATATCTTTTATTAGACCAACTAAAATAGTTGGAAAAATTCTTATTTGCAAGCTTTTGGGTACAAACACCCTTGTTCAGGCCGAGGGAGCGTCTGCAGTTGTTACGTACTCTCCTGGATGGAGAAGAGAGTCTTTTGATTATTAGACTGTAGACATTATACATAGCTATTTTACTGCAAATGCAATGCCACTGAAATTTAATTTACTAGGTATATTTATAAGCTTGAGTACACTTTATATTTTGAACAAGGACTTAATACAATGTTAAAGCTCTTTCACTTAATACCAAAGGGATTACTAACCTTCACAAAATGCTGAAAGGTCAAAAGAGCAGTAACTGACCTGTTCTGTAACTGACCAAAGAACTCATGGAAGTATTGTGGCAGATTTTTAATGTGTATATGACACATTATGATTTTACAACTTACAATCTTGACAAAAGCAGGTACTGTATCAAAGAACTGTCAGTAACTGTAAATCAACTAGAGATCTGTCATAGAATAACATCACATAACCATGGGCACCTTTTTCTGAATGTTTATGCTGTCAGTTGATAAAATCTGTGGTTGCACATAAACCACATCTAGGCTGCTGCTAAAAATGAAAGCACTTATATGACTTTCAGAGCTAAAGTCTTTTGAATGTATTTTTCACTTAAAACATTGAGAAAGCACCTTCACAGATTTTTGTACATGCATGAAAGACACGCAGTGCACCTGTACAGACTGTACACTGAGGCTACATTTCAGTTTATGGGGAGCAGTCTTTTAAATTTGAGACAATTCTGCAATTTAATATTGATAATAATTTTTCCTAATTGTACATATGGTGCATCACATTTTCAGACTAGAAAACATGGGGAA